AAATTTTCGGGAGCAAAAAAAAAAAAAAAAAAAAAAAAAAAAAATTGTGCTCTGTACCCCCCCCCCCCCCCCATTGAGCGACTTTTCGGCCGGCGCGATTTTCAAATTTTCAGGAGCAAAAAAAAAAAAAGAAGGTGGGCCCCCTCCCCTAAGAAATCCTGGATCCGCGCCTGTCTCCTTGTTCACTCTATGTAGTAAACCACGTAGAAAACAAAAACCAACATAAAAATACATGCCTATAAAAAAATCTGTAATTTATTTTCATTGCATTACCATAAAGATCTTGCTGTCTGGGCTGCACTTACAGATTCAGGATTTATGTATACTCCTTGATAATGTACTTTTGCACTTAACAATAATGAGAAAACCTGCCATCCTCCCTGTGATAACATCTAACATAGCTGAAAAAAACCTTGAACCCTTTATATTTGCAGACTCATCCCTTCATTGATTCGGGAAGCCATTTATAGCACATTACGTTTTGGTTCTTATGAGCCTATCAAGAAACTGTATGGAGCCAAGGATCCAACTAGAACTCCCCTCAGTATAAAGCTTGCTGCTGGTGCTACAGCAGGTAAGGCATTTAGAGATTTTAGCTTGGTTGCTTTCCAGCCTAGCGATTAGGGAAAAGGTTGTGTATTAGTTAGGCACAAGTAAACATGACAAAGGAGAGGTGAAGGAGATAGAGGATAGATGAATCAAAGAAAAATAGATTTATATGGATGCAAATGGCACATTTGTCTTTAGCCCTCAGTTTTAAAGTGAATAAATGAACATGAGATGATCATGATTTAGGTATAAATTTGATAGTGGATTTAGGGGGTACATGTGGCCTGTGCATCTGCTTCAAATCAATTGTTGCATATCTCAATTCAGTACACAAAGAAATATGCCCCACCCCTTTCAACTTAATTCACCCAGAAGGCACCTACAAATTATTATCTCTTTTTCCTTGTTGGTTATGTCACCAATTTTTCAAAAATTATACCCTCTTCTTAAAACAAAAAAAAGAAGACCCTTCCAAGGGAGTGTAATTAGTTGGTAAATTGGATTTTCAGGGACTCATCTTTAAATCTGATAAATATTTGATGATTATATTCCCTTCCTCTCTCTTCTTCAGGTGCTCTTGGTAGCTGGTTTGCTAACCCTATGGACATTGTCAGGATTAGACTCCAGGGAGATGGACAACCACTGCCAGGACAGCAGCCAAGGTACAGGGGCTTCCTGCATGCTTTCACTGATATAGCTAAAGCTGAAGGTCTGAGAGGGCTCTACAGGGGTACCGTCCCCACAGTGCAGAGGGCTATGATTCTTACTGCTGCTCAGGTACAGGAGGCTGTTAGGTTAAAGTGTTATAAGTTAATGTCCTACTAGCACTCAATAGACGATATAGAAGTGAACGGATTGGTGATCTCAAAACAGTATAGAGATGTCTCCTGGTACCTTAATCAGTCACTTAAGTGATCACCTGGAGTCCTGCATATCCGTACCTGTTTTTATAATGTTTCACATTACGTCTTATGAGGATAATTATGCTAAGGGCAACAGCTGAAAGGTCTGCTGTTTGTCTAAATTAAACAGTTTCAAATCCCACATGAATTTTCTTTATCATTCTGAACCTGTAAATAAAGAGTACCGCAAAATCATGATAAATAGGAATATCGTGATAAATGGAAACAAAAATTGGAATAGCCTTTTTGTTATTCTATTTTATGGTTATCACCTCTTGAAAGTCAATTATAGCAATCCCCCTCTGGCCATGCCGATAGTTTGACTCTTGTTTTCTCATTTTTTTCTCTCCAGGTACCCACCTATGATCACACAAAGCACTCTATACTCAACCACGGCTGGATGACAGAAGGGGCAAAGCTGCACTTCGTTTCATCAATGGGGGCAGGCTTCACCACGGCATTCGCTACCTCACCAGTAGATGTGATTAAAACAAGAATTATGAATCAGAAAATCAAAGGTGAAAAATCAACAAGAGCAGATCTTAAAGGACCCTCCATAAAGGCAATATCACATTTTATTCTTATGAATTTATATGATAATTAATTAATATGATCATTTTATGGAGGGTAAAATGATTCGCCAAGGAACCTAGTTTCCTAACATTGGGGAGGGGGGGGGGGGGGGGAGGAGGGGGGGGGGGGGGTGATGGTGTAAACCAAATGTACTGACAATGTGATCTGAATGTTGGTCCAGTGACAGTTGCTTTTAGGTTTTAGGTTACCATGTTAAGGCTTATGATCAAGGTTGGGTTAAGTGTCCAGAATTGAAGTTAGGACTTCGGTTATTGTGGGAAATGTCTGGGGAGCCATTGTGGAAAGAGTATGTGGCATAGAACCACCCATTAGGGACAGCCTCTTACACCGACGGCCATATTAAAGTATTCATGGATGTAAAAAAGATGGTCCTTTTATATTTTCTCTGACCTTCACTACGCTTAGAAATGATGTTGGATGTGCAGTCTACCGGTACATGAAAATACAAGTATTAAAAACTGGGATTTGTTGTTGTGAAGTACAGCAATTAACCTGTTGGATGCTAAGCCGGAAATAAGTAAAGTTGGAGTCTGTTGAAAATATAAAATCATATCAAATGGGTTAAAGCCCCACTGCACTACTTATAGCTACCTACGCCCTCTATATAGCAAACAATGCCTACGGTAATCGGTGACCACTGGTCCCCCATGGTCCCCTTTTTCTTATGTTAATTGAGAGCTGATTTCATGAGATAAACACCTGTCAGTGACCATGCTGGGTGGTCTAATCCCTCCTGGCCAAACTACAACAGACAGGATTTAAATAAAAGTGTGAGAAGAACACAGCATGCTATGCTGATTTGACTTTGATGACATGATGATGTATTTACCATCTTTACATGCAGGTATTCCGAAGGACCAGATACTGTATCGAGGTTCCCTAGACTGTCTTCTTAAGACACTACGAAGCGAGGGTTTGTATGGTCTCTATAAAGGCTTCTTCTCAAACTGGCTCAGACTAGGACCTCATACATGTATATCACTCTTGATCTTTGAGCAGCTCAGACGTCGTGCTGGAATACAGCCACTCTGAAGAACTCTGTTATGCCGGCAGAAGTAGATCCAGGATTTTCCAAATGGGGGGGGGGGGGGGGGGGGGGGGCAAAATATTTACTTATAGTAAGTTTGCCTGATAACACTATTTGGGAAATTCCTGCAGATGATCTCCAGCTTGGCACAGGAAAGAAAAATCTTTGATCAGCAACAAAAAGTTCTGACAGGCCTTCTGAGAATCAAAAATGGGAGCTGTTGGCCTCTTTTATCATTAAATAATGCTTGTTCCTTGATGTACTTTAGTGGAGTTGGGTCGCACCTCTCTCTTTGGCCCCTCAGCTCCTATGCTCCCAAGGATCCACCTATACACCGGGGGGTGTTTCATAAAGCTGTTCATAAAGTTACGCATGACTTTAGAACAGCTTTATGAAACACCCCTTGGGGATATATACTGTAGCTAGTTCTCACATTCATAGGTATAGAACTCAGTCACATTTTGTTGCTGAAGTCATAAAGCAAATAAGAACCTTGAGGAATACAATGTCATTTCAATGTATTTGCCAGTGTTCTGTGTGATATGTGGTGACTATTGGGTATGACAGAACAGAAATGCTGCACAAAAACTTGAGACTTAGACATAAATGGCTGTCTAAAGTAATAATAAAAAAAAAATCATGAATTATAATATAATACATACTGTTTGTAGTAGGTGAAGGTGTAAAGAAATAAAATGCTTTATTATCATAATGTTTCATACATCTATGAGGATAGAATATGATTCAACCTCTAAAAATGAATTGGGATACCAGTATGTTTACTTTAAAAAATCACATGTCATAATAAATCAAACAACAAAAAAAGACTTCATTTTCATCAAATTTTGTGACTAGCTTGATCAACAGTGTATATCACCTCTAAGTGTTGTTTTTCAGTACTCAATAACATAAGGCTTCCTGATTTTGACATTACATCTCATTAATCAATCATATATACCAAGAATGATCACTGCTTGTAGGCCAAGCATATAATGATCTACCAATCCTGACCAAAGTTGAGCTTTTTCAATTAATATGCACACATTGGACATAATTTGAGTAAATGAATTTGGCATGGATTACCAGAGATTATTTTTTCATAAATAATAAGCTCTAAATTCTAAATCACACCAAAAATATTTGTGATATGTTTTAAATGACCCAGCATTTACTGTATGGTACAGTATATAGCAATACTTTGTATCAGGACCCCGTTTCATAAACTAGTTATAATAACATGTTATGGTAAATGTAAGTAGACTATTGAAATAACAGTATTTGATTGGCTGTGATCAAATTTTTCATTGACTTTTGATGTTTCTTATGGCTGGGATATATGGATTAAGGATTAGTAAACAAAAAAAATGACCTCATTGGCAAATATATCCAGCAAATTGTATGTAGACTTCTGATGGAATAATTAACATATTGAAAGGTGTTACCATTATTAAGATATGATGGTGATAGAGAATTTCTATCTAAATAAAAAACTGAATATAATATAATAATCTTTAGTGAAGAAGTTCTAAATCAGAGGGTTATATATCGCTGACATTTTATAGGACCAAACTTGTGTCATTCAATATATTTTCTGAAGTAATATTCTGAAGTTGCATTTTACCTTAATTCTTGTCTAATCTCAGATTGCCAATCCATGCAATAAGTCAGGTGTGCTTTTTAAAGAACAACTTTTCCTATTGTTAAAAATGTTATGATCTAGTGCAATGATTAAATATGTATAAGTGCAATTAAAACTTATCAATCTGTGAGACACGCACAAATGTAGTGAGATGATATATTGTTAAAAGAATAACAATTATTGTAATACGACTTATGTTACAATGCAAATGCTTCCAGTAACGTATATCATTACGTCTATGCAGTTGACTGGATGGTATTTTGTTATATACGCAGGTCATCTTTTTTAATGTACCTATTAACTGTATTTCATAGATTATATTTTGATATTCTAACTTTGTATTGTCATATGTTATGAAATATTAGTGTATCAAGTTTTTTATATAGATTTTATACATCTATTTTATTAAAACTGAACAGAAACAACTTCTATTGGAAATTCATACTTTAGTCTTTGTCATCAAGGAAATTATGGGAAATGCAGTTAATAAAGAAAAATTATTTTGTTGTCATTGTCTGGCCATGCATTGACTTTTCTTTAAAATAATTTAACAGATATTCCAAAGTTTATTTCATACTTTTATGGTCCATGAAACACGTTTTTACCAAAATATGCAGTAATGAGCAGTAATAATATAATAATAATATGGATATTTATATAGCGCCGGTATCCGCCAGGCTCTGACGCTCATGGCGCATATAATGCCAACTTTACAACTAATATTACAATCTAAGTGGCCCATAACCAGGCTTTTGAAAATAAGATTGATGCAATATATGTGGCTATAGTAAAATACTGTATGTAACATTTACAGTTTTAACACTTTTTACATCATCAGTGAAATTTAATGGGTTCAAAAGAAAAGTAGGTCATAACTTCTATGGTAGATTATTATTGATTGGCAGGTAGTATATTGCACAGGAAATACTTGAGGTGCAATTTATGCTTGCAGGTGTGTAACATACAAGTTTGGTGATATTTACAATAGTATAATGCATAAATATACATGAAATCAACAGGAATGAAGAAATCTATATAATTTCTTGGCCAAAATCTGTAAACAAGGAGGAATGTGGTATCAACTTTAAATCTTGTAGAGATAATTTTTCTCTAGTTTTTGCTCTTTCATTGATTTATTTTGTTGGTGTTGCTATCTCTTTCTGTTTCTTTCCTTTACATCCTTCTTCCTTCTCTCTTTCTTTCTCTCATACCATTATACATTCTCTCTTTCCTGAAATTTACTCACACATAGTTACCACATGATGAATGCACCTTCTGTACATGTAAACTTTTCATTATTTTCATTGCTTTTTACCAAACAAAATATTTAAAATCCTCGGTCATATTCATGGGTTAGTTCCTTCTAAATGAGACATACTTCAGCTGATAAAGGAATTAACACAAGAGATAAATTTGTTTTTGTCATATTGTTATTGCAGTGATCATACATTTTACTATCAATACATTTATATTCCATAATAGACTTTTATTTAATACATTGGTAACACTCTGGAATAATGATACTATCACATAAGAGTTATATAAGCATCAGCTATTTTTTACCATTCTCTTGAAATTGCTCACATGAACAAATATATAGAAAAGTCCAGCTTTATGGCAAATGTATTGCTTAAATTGTTATACAAAATCAAAGAATGATTTAAAGTTAAAGTAAAATTGAATACATATCAAAATATCTATCAAAATGCTAATCAGAATGAATTTAATTACACATGGTGATTATCTGTAGTAAAACTACTTTTGTTTATTGTAATTCACCTACTACAATTGCTTTCAAAGCAGATCAATAAACTTCACATTAGCATATAATATGGTTCATGGAAAGTAGACAAATGAAAATTATTTTTTCTTTATTTGCAAGAAAGCCCATTTGTGAAAACGCTACAAAATTATTTTGCGAATATAAAAATATGAAACAAGAATAGGAGAATACAAAATCAACATAGATACAATGATATTAATTCTGGATTTTGATTTAAACCCCAAATTGAGGCTGTACATCCTATACTTTAGGGTATAAAAATAACAATTTTTGAAAGAGTGAATACATTTTAACAAATAAAAACAGACAGAAAGAAATAAGTAGAGATAAGTTGTATAAAAGCTGCAGGCTGCCGCCGCCGTCGCCTGTACCTCTCTGCTAAGCTTTAAGAGAGAGGTACTCAAGACCCAGCTCCGTTAAGCTACGGATGTCTTTTTAACTGCACATAGTTCATTGTAGATCTTTTATTGAGACACTACCTGTATATATACACCTGCACAGCACCTACAATCAGTCCGATAATACACCCAACGGTGGCTTGTACTTATAGCGAAGAAGAAGAAGTATTGAGATATTGATAAACATAATATGCAATGAATAGGAATGGCCAAAATTATAAGAAAATATGCATGCTGATGAAAGAGCTTTAAATATAAATGTTTCATGGATAATAATAACATAGTCTCTAACATTCTAACTCTAAATAATGAAAGACATGCTTAGAGATTTTGGAAGCCAGATATATGTGTTCATACAATACTCTTCTACATGGTGATAACAAAGAATTAGAAAAAAGCATTTTGAATGCTCAAATACTACCCCAAAAAGTTTGCAATAAACCTGTATGCAGCTGGAATACAATACTCAAGCAGAGTGCATGTTTTTATCTATTATCTGTACAAAACTACACGTTTTTACTTGATACACATACCATTCACAATATTCCATCTAAAAGACTTCATACAACTTTGTTTTATTCACAGACAATCAATTATAAACACAAAATTTAAACTCAGTACTAAATATTATCTCTCAGATATTCTTGATGCAATCTGTGATTTACAAACTACTTGAAAACACAGGTCGAAGTAAAAAACAACAACATTAAAATGGGTCTTCTACAAGAGCATCTTCAAAAAAGAGTTTGGGAAGGCACATACATGTATCTATATACTGGCTGGCGTTCATTCTATCAACTATATACAACTATATACACGATGGACAATTTGTATACAAAATAGAATATGGGAATATATGTGTCTCCTCACTATACAGTAATCCTGTCTCTCTATTTACAAAACTTCATTACAACCAGTCATTAAAGTCACTGATAAAGAAAAATATTGTATTTGTTTTGAATTGAATTTTTATAAGTTGGGATTTCTCATAAAGTGAGCTCAATATTTGTAATATTTACAAACTGAATATAGATTCATTATTTGATGACATACATTATAAGTTGAAATATCAATTCTGTTTTTATTTCAAAAGAATAGAAAAAACCCTGGTTCTTTTCGACAACAAGACAAAGGAAATTGTAGTTGAAACTTATTTGACAAATCTAGACAAAAGTAGGTAATCCACCTAGTTTGCTTCTCTTCAGCATTAAAAAGATTGACAAAAAGAAAAAAACTACCAAACGTGTAGTTCAAACTTTTATATACAAAGTCAATGTCAACAATTTAATCCTCTTTACATATAAGAATTTTGTCACGAACAAGATGTCTTGAACTTGTGTATACCATTAAAGAGTGCAATCTCTAAAATTACATTTTTAAAAGATTGTAAGCTTTAACTCCCCATTATTTGTTCACAATCACCAACAAGTTGAATCTGTCAAAAATATTTACTCTCCTCCTCATCATCTAGCTTACATGTATTTTAGAGGGGAAAAAAAATTGTTGCATGAGTGTAAAACAAAAAAAGCTTGTAATCTAATAAATTAATCCAAAATGGCTACTTGATAAACAGTTGAACTTTGAGATCCAGTCAAGAAATGACTTCCTTGTGATCCAACATATGCTAGCTAGGGCAACAACTGCTCATGGCTTTATTTTTTTCAAAGATACAGGGCAAGGGTTAAGGTTGCATTAGGGTTTCATTTCAGGTGAAGGGTTAAGAGTTCTGGCTAGGTATAGTGTTTGGTCCGAGAATGAAGTTTGAAATTCACCAAGTACAGAAAACCAGCCAAAGAGCAATTGTCACCAGAGCATCTGAGCAAGTCTACGAGGTTGTCCATTTTGTGAGACTTGTTGGTCCCAGCTGTCTCCATTCTTCCTTTGTGATACACATGTTATCAAATGCTGAGAGAGGTGCCAGGACGTTGGCTCCGTTGTAGGCTGCATGGTAGCGCTCTGGTGCAGCATGGACCTGCATAGGGGATACAAGGAGCCAACACGTTTAATTAATGTACACCTAATTGTTCATCCCTATACTCTGATATTTAAATCCGAGGATAGTTTTATAAGAGGCAGGAAACTGCATAGGACATTTTTTAGATTTAGGTAGCTCAATCTAACCAGATCCCTATGCAATTAGGAACCACAAAATACAAATAAACAGATGTGTCACCAACTTCATTCCTTTTCATGTCATTTCTGCAGTGTACTTGTATTTGCAGACCCATATTTTATTCAATAAATTGTCTGCTTGGAGCCAGACAGGCATTAACTCATATACTTCAACACAGAGCTAATGCCCTTCTGACTAGAAAACCCCCCACAAAATATTCCAATATTTAGCAGATAGACCATTAGGCCATGTAGAACACAATGCATGAGGCAAGGTTTCACAACATAATACCTTTTTTTCCCTGATACATAAAATGTCAAATAATATCCAAATCCACAAATTCATATACCTGAAAGAAAATGATATTGTTTTGTTGATAACAAACTATTTAAGGCACTAGAAATGTTAAAATGGTAATTACCTTGACCAGTGTACTCTTTGGTAGCATCTTGGTGAGTTCCGTTCTCAATCTCTCTGCAATGCCTGGTAGCAAAGTTGTACCTCCACACAGGTAGATGCTCCTAATACAGGGGAAAATAAATTCAATCACACATGAGTTATAATACAGTTTTTGTCTTTAATCCTTAAAGTGCCCTTCAGTATTAAACAGACATAAAAACATTTCTAGTTCCTCCCCTTTGTAAATAAATTGTTTATTGGGATACAAAGAACAATTCAAATAGCTCTGTCATCTTAATATCACTATCTTTGTTGTAAAATTTGTGTAAACTAAACAATTAAAACACTGATAATAAAATAAATACAAAATTAGAATGATGATAAATTAAGTGGGATGAGAACATTGACATACTTGGCCATTGTTTTCCTTTGTTCCATGTTGCATGCCTGGATTGCATTGTAGACCAGTGTATGAAGACCAGGATGGTCCTTGCCCCAAACCTCAGGGTGGAACAGGCCCTCAGTGCAGCGGAATCTGGAGTAGTCCAACTTGATAGTTCTGTAAAGAGGTAATACAATGGAATAGCACATATTATAATAAAGTAAAGTAAGATAGTGAATTTTCAACATCATTGTCAGTGGCAGAGGTGTACAAATAGAAATTAAATTATCCTATAACCCATGACTTAGCAGTGAATGAGTTGAATTAATCTGTTCAATCTGCATACTAAATAATCCACCCACAGAGTAAGGAAAAGCTCATGAAAGTCTGTTTCAGAAGACATTATTGTCTCATCATGGCAGAGACACTGCTTGATACTGCACAAAATAGAACTAGCAGGTAAGTAGCTGGAAGCATTGAATGATGTTTTTCACAATACCTAATATTGAATCACTCAAGCTCTAATAATCAGATAATTTCTGGTGTTACCCTTTTGTCTAAGATCAGACCTTCACCTGGCCCTGTTCAATTGTTTGATTCAGACTTCCTCTTCATCATCCAATTATGCAACCCATTTTGACCCCTCTTCCTCTTCCGTTCTCAAACTCCCTCGGGTAGTATGGTTTTAGGTTAACCCTTGTTCTCACAAATCTACTTCTCTTATTTTTTGTCGGCCTATGATCGAGGAGGGAAACTAGATGTCTGGCTTTGGGCCAGTGCAGCTTTCTTGTTGGGCAATATCATGAAGAGAAAGTTATAGACAAAATAGATGACCTCATCTAGCCAAGGGACATGATGCTGCCAGCAAGGTTTGGGGAAGCCCCTAGGCTTCCGGATTCTTGATAAATCAAGACATTTTGCCCTGGAACTTGTTTTGCATCTTAAATAACCTTCCAGTAGATTAAATGACATTTTGAATAAAGGCTAGGGGAAATTTCTACAAAAATAAAATAATGATTAAATGAGCTGTGACCTTTCTTATTACAGAGGTCCCTTCTTTCTGTTGGATACTGTCTATGACTAGATTCTGGGAGAGTGTTATTCATGACAACTAATTAAGTGGTAGACATATTTGCTCAATATTTAATTTGTTCAATATCCAACCAAGGGAACTATAAAATTCAAAGCAATAACAACAGAAATAACAAAACCATCAATCTCTCCTCAATCTGATGATGTGCTCACATTGTGAGCTATTTGTAAAAGTCTCTCCATTGCTATAGGGGCATCTGAATATCCCTAGGTACAAAGAAAGTGCACTGTCACTCAAATATTCAAATATTTTTCCTCTGACAATACAAATTCTTAAAAAGCTTTTGAAAATTATAATCAGAAAATGTGGACTCCTTCAGTCACTCCATTGTGACGAGCATATCTTTCCTTGATTTTGAGGTGAAACTGCACTTTCCCGTCACCCTCAATATCCATAGACTAAATTGTGACAATTGCAAGGTTTCGAGACTTACCCTGTTCCGTTTGGTACGTCATATTTATCCAGGTCCAGGTACGTGCTGCAGAGTTCTGGGTCCAGGGAGCAAAATTTGAGCTCTGCATGGTAGTCCTGGGCTACAAAACAGGCCTGTAAAGTGAATAGTTGTAAATCTATTAAAATCTACCCTTTTTTAACTTGTCAATCAAATACTATACTAGTCACTGTTTTTTTTTTTTTTTTTTTTTTTGGGGGGGGGGGGGGGTTGATGATATGTTTGTATTTAATCTGATCTTTATCTCCCTCCCTCCCCCTCTCTCTCTGTCTCTCTGTGTCTCTCCCTCCCTCTCTCTGTCTCTCCCTCCTTCCACCTAATACCCTTTTCTAACTGCACTCTATCGGAGTCACACCGATGAAAATACCGATTGAATTTTCCTTATGTAAACAAAGGTGAAACCGCAGTTTTCCCCTGTTGGTTTCTAACTGCCGGTGAAATTCACTCGCTGTGGCGAGCCCTCGCCGGAAGTGAAGAATTATTACGTAATTATTAAGCCCGCGCTCCATCTAGCTAGCATGCAGCTTGTTTAACCATAAGTCAACAAACACAGCTTGTTACGGTAAAGCGCGCGTATACTGCGACCTTTGACCATTTTAATCGCTTTTTTATCGCCCTTTTCTCCAGAACGTTTTCTAACTGCACGTTTCATCGGTGTCACACCGATAGAATGAGAATTTCTCCTGCTCTAGAGCAGGAGAATTTAATCGCCTATTTCTCTTCTTTTCATCGGCTATTTAATCGCCTTTTTCTCCTCTGTTGCTTTCTAACTGGCACTTTCATCGGATGCGTCCGGATGCATCCGATGAAAATCGGTGCAGTTAGAAAAGGGTATAATTGTCGATCTATATCGTCCTCAGTTATCATTATCTCTCCCTATAATTTAGTCAATATTTTCTGTAACTATTCTTGACCAACCTTGAGTATTAGACATGCTACCAATTTTTTTTCATTCTATTCTGATAAAAATGTATCTATGACAATTCCAAATATATAGCTTTATAATAAATAAATTGTTCCAGCAAATTTGAAGTGAATGACTAATATGTATGTAAAGATATGCATACCTTCTCTTTCAACAGTCTTCCAATGTACTTCTCCACCTCAGAGAATAACCTGCATAAAAGAAATATATCATTAATTCATTAAACATTCTTCATTTTATAAAGCGACTGGCAAGACAGCGTTTTATATCCTTGCACACATCTACAATCGATGTCATCGTGTAAGGAATCAGCAATAAATGGTTAATGTTAATAGAAAAGAGAATACTTTTGGAAACAAAATATAATCATTATATGAGCTGCAATAGTATTTAATAGATAGCAAATTTTCATGAACATGATCATAAAGGCTTTCTAAAAAATCAAGCTATTGACATTATTAATAGCCTAATGGATGAGTTTTGAAATTTACAATGATAGATAAGACAACCTGTACGTGATTTCTACAGGCAATACAATAGTGTTTTAACTGAACTTGAGCTTATTTCCTGAATGTCTTTCCTATCATGTTTATGAGTGATCATACAAATTTCAAGTACTTCTATAACAAAAAATATTCTCAGCTTATCGTGATACGAATGTGCGTGGAACCTTTTCTATTATCAATAATTACGCTACTACAACCAGAAGGCATCATGGTTCACGTGTTTTATACTCCCTAGTCTCATGATAGGCCTTAAACTCTAGAATGTCAAAGTTGATTGTCAGAAAGTCCGATAAGGCAAGGAAAGGAGCCCCAGAGGAGTGCTGAGACATGAGATTGAGACGCCTGGAGGCTGGGAGGAAAAGACTTCTAAATTTAAGCAGGAAATAATGAATTTCAGACCAGCTGTGGGGAGACCAGTTAGTAAATTACTGTAAATTAGGTGTGTATCATGTCCAGCTGGACTTGATTAACAGGAGCCAATCAAGCTTGCATCTATGTCTTTCTTCATGCTTTACGATTCCTGTGAGGATACTAAAGGGATTCCAATTTTGCAAAGATTTGTTGTGAAAACCTAACAATGGAGATTATGATTTGACGATGTGGTAGATGTATATCTTAGACGAATAAGACACATAAATTTATCAGGCAGTGTCCCAAGTCTTCAAAGGTTTATAACAATATCTACATGTAATTGATGTTTGGTCATTGAAATGAGACAAAGGAGATATATTGTATATTACACATAGACTGTTTTGTGTAATCAAAGAAAATAACACAGATACACAAACAGCTGTTAACTGGTTAAATCACTTATGAAAGATGATTTAATTATATCATTTTCTTAGAGAATTCAAAAAATGTATTATAAGAACAGGAGAAAATGCACCTTAAACAATCTTAAAACGCTTCATTTTCATTCCTGTAATTCTGAACAATTGTCCATTTTGCTTGAAAATTCCAGGGGGTTCTGACAGATCATCTCATGTCGTTTAAATGCTCTTCTCGGTGAAAGAATTTAATTTAGGGCGTAGAAACTGTACAGTTTGTTTTTCCAGAAAAACTCTGGGTATGACGATGTTTATGTTGTTATTTCTGTTACAGCTTTCTCACTTCAAGCTAGGGGCCCCTACTCCTCTATCAAACACGGAAGCTACAAATGAGCAGTTTCCACAACAAATCAAGTCACCCAGCTCTGGGGGTGTGTCCAACTTTTTAACTGCTCTGGAAGGGTACAGTTAGTCAATTATGACATCTCAAATATTAAATTTCCATCCAGCTTTGTCAATTCCATCAACCAAATGAAAGACGTCACAATCCACACTGTGACATGGGCAGATCTCAATTTGGAGCTAATTATGCTGGGAATGAATGAAGCCATCATGAGGATATAGGCAGTTGATTTTATAAATAGATTGCTGAACTTCAAATTTTAGTGGGCGTATCCCATCTAGCACAGGTATGGACTAAAATGGCTTTAACCAACCTATAGCAGGGGTCCCAGATGTGAGTGATTATACTTGATTGACAGACTATAGGACACATGATACAGTTGGGATTAGTTGTTTTTAGACAATGGAAGTAATTAATGTTAAATTAATAAGCATGCACACAAACTTTTGTAATTACATTTACTTCATTACGATTGCAGTTAATGATATACATAGATGTATGATGTGTAGATGAAATATTAAGTCTAGCATTCAAGTTGTAATATGGCTTGTGTTGGATATTAATCCTTGCAAGAGCATGGTCAGTTGCATGTTGCTGGAAATATAAGGAAAATGTACAAAGACACCAGTTTTCTGATTTTATATTAATTATATATCATTTAAATTGTTTAATTCTTTTATTTGGAAGATTTATTTGCTTACCTGTGGCCTGTCTCTGTTAGAAGCCTGGTGAGATGCTCTGTGATCTGCCTCCCTCCAAACGGTAACCTGTACACCCCCTTCTCCACAATGTAACCATCCACGATCGGCACGATGTCTACCCTCTCACCAATGTTGACTGTATGAGTAAAAAAAAGTACCAAAAACAAAAATATGATGTCAATAAAGATTATAGACCACAAAATTAGGGTGCGTTGCATGAACTAATCATGGCTGACCACACTGATGGCACTAGTTGTGATATGCTTTTGCTGAAACATGATATATCTATCATAAATATGTCAAGTATGCAATAAAATATTAAATATATAATAAATAAATACAAAACACATGATATATATATACATGTATAGAAGGTTTTATTCAGTATAATATTAAAAACATGTGAAGATTTGTCTTTTTGGAAATCAATGTTTTTTAGTGCAGTGATGCAAGATGAATTGTCATGTTTATCCTTAAAATTGTGTGTTTTATCATGGAGTTACTAACTCCATGGTTTTATACTGAAGGGATCAGCAATACTACTTGCTGCAATACATGGATCTCTAATACATTCAATGCCCAGTCCTGAAAAAAAGTCTTCCTTTTGAAATTTTATCTGGTTTCTTTGAGACAACTTACTTGGGTCAGAGAAAATGTTTCCAATCAAACTTAGGTAAATTCTGCATGTCCATGAACTGAGGAAGACCTGTATCAAAACTTTACTGTGCCAAGAAATCATGGCTGGGGAAGATTTATGCTCCGGATATATTAATAACATTTCATCAGGAAATGTACTTATACGTGTATATCAACACACATGGATGATTTGAAGAGCTTGCAGATAAGTTACCTTTAACATTTCTTACTATTTGATTGCTTTTTAAAGTGTGTTACATCTAACATTGTCATTGATAGAGAAGGGGGAGCAGATCACATTTAAAAAAAGAAGAAGAAGAAGAAGAAGAAGAAGAAGAAGAAGAAGAAGAAGAAGAAGAAGAAGAAGAAGAAGAAGAAGAAGAAGAAGAAGAAGAAGAAGAAGAAGAAGAAGAAGAAAAGAAGAAGAAGAAGAAGAAGAAGAAGAAGAAGAAGAAGAAGAAGAAGAAGAAGAAGAAGAAGAAGAAGAAGAAGAAGAAGAAGAAGAAGAAGAAGAAGAAGAAGAAGAAGAAGAAGAAGAAGAAGAAGAAGAAGAAGAAGAAGAAGAGAAGAAGAAGAAGAAGAAGAAAAGAAGAAAAAGAAGAAAGAAGAAGAAGAAGAAGAAGAAGAAGAAGAAGAAGAAGAAAAAGAAGAAAAAGAAGAAAAAGAAGAAAGAAGAAGAAGAAGAAGAAGAAGAAGAAGAAGAAGAAGAAAAAGAAGAAGAAGAAGAAGAAGAAGAAGAAGAAGAAGAAGAAGAAGAAAAAGAAGAAGAAGAAGCTAGAAGAAAAAAAGAAAAAAAAAAGAAGATTAAGAACAACAACAATAACAAAAGAAAAAAGGGAGAAAGGGGAGAAGGTGGAGGAGGAGGAAGGTGGAGGAGGAAGAAGGTGGAGGAGGAGGAAGATAAATAAGACAAACTTGTAATAATTGTGCTGATTCTTACCCACTATGCCTGAGGTAGCTTTGTATGAGTAGAGTGCCATCAGTGCCTGTTCTTGAACCAGGATGCCCTCTACATTGAATCGTTCAAAGATCATTTCAACCAGCTTCTCCTATAGTATGAACAAAATTATGGGTTTATTGAAGAAAGATGATTGAAAAGATACAAGAAGGAATAATCTTGTCTGCTGAGAGCCAGAAGGGCATTTCTGAACTTGGGAAGACTTTGAGTGCCCTTGTGTCTCTCACCAAAGAAACTCACATGAAAGCAATGCACATGATCAGTGCTATATCACAGTTAAAGGAACGGAATTTACTAATAATTAATACAATAAATGTTGATGCCCATATCATGAATATATAGGTTAGTATGGTAGATCTTAATGAGGGCGATTATCTATTGCAATCATGCCATCTGTAAATAATCAAATGGGCAAAAATATTGCCATACATGCTTAGGAAAGCGATGACTGCAAACTAGATAATATCAGATATTGCTATCAGTTTCATTTTCTCACATTCAAGTAATCGAGAGCCCACCCTCTTTCATAAAGCTAAGCAGAGAGGGGTAGGATTGGAGAGGGGTAGGCCGGATCACAACAGGAAATTATAATAATAGCCAAACTGAAACCACATGCGGTACTGAACAGCTCGCATGGATCGAGTCACCGGTGAGATGGCCGTACAGTTGTCATTTTGCTGAGTTCTGTAATTGAGTGGCGACAGCACCGATGAGCCAATGTCAATAACAACAAACCAACCCAGGGGGTGTTCCTATAGCCAGTGATAATTGGGGTGATACTCAGATGCAGAGGTCAATGCCAATATCTGTTTATTATTCGGTAAAGCCTGTTACCTATGAGACATACTTTATCTAATATAAATTTAATATTGACCTTGGACATGGACAAATGTCAATCCTTCAATCAATCCCTATTTAATCAAGAATTCAAGAGCATATTTCCTTATTAAGGTGATAAGACATATATGAGAAGGAACATAAAAAGAGGTTGGGCATAGAACAACCGCAAATTGTCTACACACACAAAAGTTGAGACAGTGGGAAAAGACTTTTTTAACAAATACAGTCATACCTGAATGCGTGTGAAGGAGTTGATGAACCCCACATTACGATCAAGTGATTAAAAAGTAATTGTGACTTCTATTTTATGGGAATGTCACTAATTTGTTCAAGATTTCCAATTCACAAAATGGTAGGGTCCTCTGGCCAAATTACTGTGTATTATTACATGATGGTGTAAAGCTGGTAAAACACTGCAAACTTAGAGAGTGACAGCTTGGGATATAGGCACAGTGATGATTGATATGATGATGAAGAATGAATGTGGAAGCTAGCCTTGGAAGCTTATTAAAGGACAATGATTCATGACAAGGCAAAGGCTAGTAATCAAAAAACAATGATACATGATACTAATTATGGGTTGAATAGACCAAAATTATATAATAAATAAACAATTTCTGAAGGATTAACTATAATAGGCAAGCAAGACCTTTATCGTCACTCTTTAATATATATATAGACCTTGCGTTTCAGTATATATCACTGATTACACATTCTCCTGTTTAATAACATCTTACTATAATCAAGCTCTAATACCTCATTCACACTGCAACTCTAAACAACTCCAATTCCAAACCAACCTCTCCATGACCATTCAGGGTAATGTAAGGTTCTTTGCTACCTGTTGTTGGCATAGTGGTGGCCCTGTTAGTGTGACTGGGGCATCACTGTTGAGTGAGGAGGAAAATTCTTGTATATGATTACATTTTATTTCATTTGAACACCACCATCACCTAGCATTGTTTCAATGTTTTTAGGATGTTGTATTGCCGACTTTTTCTTATACTTACAGTCATCTTTGGTCCCATGTTGAATGGTACAATGACAAGCACAGTATATGCAATGGGATCTACACATAGCTCCGAGAAAGCTGTTTCCAGGAGGCCCTCTGTGACAGACATGTTCAGCTTGAACTAGAATGAAAAAGAAAGAAACAGAGATAAAAAACTGAGTCACAAACTGTGTGATTGGATTATCTTATTAAGTTTAATTGCTTATTCATTAGAGGCAAGGACAAATTTCCATTGTCCAAAAAGAAATTCATCATCATGATATCAGAGATTATAACGGTTAGAAGTTCAGAGTTTTGTTTCTTTCATAAGTTCAGCTCCAAGTCAATATCTACCTGTGATAACATTTACTGTATGCAGGGAAAATATGACAGTGTATAGTACCGGTATGTATATTTCTGATGCCGCATCAATTACTACATTGATGCATAGTCATCTCATTTAATAAATAAAGCTGTATGGTACCAAAGCTTTGAAGGTTCAAAACTTTGTCTCTTGTAAAACTTCTCTTTAAGATTGTCAATTTCTAGCCATATTGAATGAGACATTTTGCATCAAAAACCATTATATTACCAAACAGCTATGCTCAAGTCATGGATACTAAAGATGATAAAAGTTGGAAGTTCATAGTTTTGTTTCTTTAAAAAAAAATCAGTAGGACGAGGGATTCATAGATATAAAACTAAGAGATGCTCATTAATGTAACACAAATGGATATCACTAATCCTTTATAAACAGTTAAGCTGTACACACATCTTTCTTTTGCCACTAGGATTTGGAGTTCTGAAGTTCCTGAAGTTTCATGTTTTTTCTCTTTCCCCAAACTCCCTCTGAGATGTGAAATTTCTAGGCACCCTTCCTGTTGGGTGGCATGAGCCGGGGTTATTTTAGAAGAAGCAGAGATGAGGCTTATATTTGGGACTTTCCACTTGGCCTTAGCAAAAGGTTTCTCACATGCCATTTGGCAATGCTTGCTCTTGGATTAGTATCTTGCTATCCCCCTCTCGTCTGGAGTGTACCTACTTGAATCATATCCTGTCACCACAATTATTAAAGGTAATATGGATTTAACAGAATGAAATTAAAGACATTTTTTTTCATTTTTGGGAGAATAAATTGATCGAAAATACACATAGTGAGATGTTTATACATCTAAAATAACTTTCATTTTTTTTACTATGAAAATATTCACAAGCTGTAGCCTATACAAGACTTAAAAACACATTTATACATTAGGGCTGTGTATGTGCTTTTAGAATGACAAAAAAATCTTTTTAAGGACATAACAGTCTATGAAATTTTGGTTATTTGAGCATGGAAAGGAAACTGAATTTTCCAAACATTTCAAAGTCCACAAACTTTCTTTAATGGCATATTATCTTAGATTCAACAAAGAGTTAAAGAGCTGCTCATTAAAAACAGACTGCTTTTTCAAAGTGTGGAAGGTTTTTACCAGGTGAATTCAAACTTTTGAACTTTTCCAAGTATCAGTAAAATAAATACACCCTTTTTTAGAATTACTCTGGAGAAATCTAAAGCTTTCGTCTTTAGCTACTTAGTCATGGAATATCAAATGACCTTTTCTTTTCATAAGATGATAAGACACTAAATCCTCACGTACACATGTATGTCAAGACATGAAGGTTGCATGTGAACAATATGTTTTATGAAAGTCATCAACGATGTTTACTGAAAGTCTAGACCTCATTACCTTCATGTCATCATGGAAATTGAATCAGTCTACAAGGAGAATAATGCCTGCTAGAATTTACTAAGTTGTCCAAAATTGCTTTCATATCCTTAGGGTGAATAAAAATGAGTTCAAATGGCTGTCTGTATAATTCCATAAAATCTACAGTTCAATGTAATCTTGAAGTCCTAGCATTTTAATAAGAACATTCAAAGGCAAAGGAAGTTTCACTCAACTTGTTTCACGATTCAAGAATCACAAATGCCAAAAACCATTCTTGTTTGGAATTCAAGTCCTAATCGTTTACTCTATTTCTTGTTGCACATCCCCTCTTTTCACACCTGTAGTATCAATTAGATTAATAACCTATTTTCTAATTCTTATCCTATAATTAATAGTCCTATTTGTTATTGTCCTACCCTGCCATACGCTGCCCTATCCTGCCCCGCCCCTCCTTTACTCACCTGTTCTAGTTTGGCCTGTTTCCTGAATGGGAAATGCAGCTTGGAGCTAGCCCTGCAGTCAGGGGCAAGAGCGTTAAACCCGTAAGCGGTCTTGTCTTTACTCCGCCCATGGGTGGCGGCCACGCAGGGGAAGAACACCTGTGGGTAGGGGGTCTCTGACTCTGACAGTACCCCTGCCCTGACGGACGAACCACCCAGATCCACTACCAGCACCCTCTGATGGGACACAGAAAGGAAGTACATTGAAGTTGTAAGAAAGTAGTTTCATTTTAGTACAAATGGATATACTAACAGTTCATAATCTGCTTTTTAAAAAACTAACAATTCCGGCATCAAACGCATGTATGTTAAGGCCATCCAAAAACTCAATCACAATTAAAGCATGAGGTATAGTAATATTTTCTCATTGGCTCAAAATTCTTACACATTAATAATAATCATGAATATTCTTAACAAATATATCTCAGTGAATGAAAAATAATGGTTAAGATATAGGTATGATAAAAGGACTTTAAACATTTAACTACACGCATATCACAAAGAGAAAAGATATACACATAAACATATATGCTTAATTGTTATAGAATTCTGGCCCAGAGACCCTTTGCTCAAAGCTTTAAAAACTAAAGAAAAACAAAGATCCAATGACTCATATTCCTTGCTATGTTCTGTCAAATTGATTTACAACATAGTAACAACGACGTCATTTACTTTTCTACCACAAAACTTGATCATTACGCTTGGGAAACAAAGGATTATAGGATGACAACTAAAGGATCAATCTTTAAAACCACACCCTTATGAAAACCCTAAGGCGACTGTTTTTACCAGTAAGATATTTGGTCCTAAAGGTATGATAATGATAAACAATGGATGCGTGTTTGCTCTTAAATGAAATAACATTAATTGGCGACGGTGAGCCAATAGAGATTTCAGGAGATTACGTGGAAATGATATGGGCTCTGAAATCATAAAATTTCTGGCATTATTTTCAGGATGTAAATTGTTTATGACAGGAATATTTTATTGCAAGCTTATCACGTTATAATACATGGCACACAGCCAGATTTTATGAATTTCTTATATCCTATCTATGTAAGACCATGTATGTATAAGCTTTACCACACAGCGGATGGAGGTTACATATAAGACATGGGAGACAACAGAGTAGACCTCTGCAGAAGGGCAATTTGAAAAGGAATATGAAACATAGAAAAGGATAGAGGAGAGAGGCAAATTTATACCCATCCCTTCAGACAAACCTGGATCCACCCCTACTAAAAGAAGAAATATATATACTTCAGATTGCAGTTGGATTATATACTTAAAACTAGAAAATTTCATAATGTGAAGCTTCCGCAAATTGTAAATTACAGATATTTTTATGGCAAGAAACTTTGGTACATTAAACAATTCAATGTTAAAGGTAAAGACCAGTATTGGAAACGCCCCAATTTCAAAAAATTAAATGGTAGCTCTTATTACCAATCATGTGAAAGAATATGTTTTGACTAATACATGATGATAAAGATTTGCCGGGAAACCACCTACTAATTGATATATTTGGTAAATTAGTTTATCTACATGGTCTGTGAGAGATAAACGCATGTGTCGCGCACGTGCGCGTATAGTCCCATATACATCTTTCTGTGTACAGTGCTTGTAACTTTACGAAGACTGGGCCAAATTTCTTATCATTTTGATGATTCTGGAACCTTGCAGTACACACCAATACTTATATGCTAGATGATCAACCTTTTCTGATCAATTCCACAACAGATCTTTCACAATGCAATTGCATGACCATAACTGGTCTTTACCTTTAAGTCAGCTGGATTTGATTATTTTGTGTAGCTTTCCCAAATCTGAACCACTCATCAAATTTGCAAGCTCTTCATGTGTGCAATTTTTTTTTTTTTTTTACAGTAATGTGCATAGAGCATAAGAAAATGACTACGTTACCATCTACCAAAGATGTTACCTTGCTAATGGGAGGGGCGATGGTAGACTTGGGCACAAATGCACCTGTCTCTGCTGTTAAGATGTTCTTCCAGTCTTCAAACTCCATCTTACTATTACCTCGCAGCAGCAGTACTCTCCCCCTCTGGAAATCAAATACAAAACGTTCCATTCGATAAAGAAGCACAATAGCATTTCATAGCTCTTTAATTCTTTTGTTAGCATAGGCAGCTTGTATTATTTTTAAAAAATGATTTCACATTTTTAAAGCAAAAAAAAAAAAAAAATGCAAAAGGTTTATATTGAAATACACTAGACATCAGAAATACATAGACTATCACATGTCCTTACACAAATTTACAATAAATATGCAGTGATTGTTCATTCTCATTGGAAAACTGTGTAGAAAGTCAGTGATTTTGTGGAAACTAGGCTTCTAAATGAAATAGAATAACATCACTAATTGTTTGTACCAACATGCATATTAAGACAAGTGTATGAATTCTTGGATGCAAGAGAACCTAATTGAAAGGTCACCTCAATGTCTTGTTTCAGACAATGGTCATCTTAACCTTAACCTTTTACCTAATCATTCTACAATTAATGATTGGTCATCCTTATTTTCCATTCATTTTTTGCTGTCAGATTGGGTACCACAATAAGTAGCAAAGTACAGGAAGTCTGCTAAAAGGAAGAAGAATGTAAAACTACCTAAATTTAGCATCCTTATAGATTTCAGCAAACAAAAGGATATATATTCTTCAACTTCAAGGCTACAAAATCATTATGACCATGAGGACATCTCCCTCTTAGTTCGTCCATTAGATATCTTTCAGTCCGTCCATCGGATATCTTGAATGTCACCCAGGAAGATACATTTCTTCGAATGGGAATTTTCCTTTGGTTCCTTCAACGAAATTCCTGCTGTGTAATATTACTAGGGATTAAGAAGGGATGCTGCCGCCACCCATGGACATGCAGTCTCACGGTAATTGCTGCGGTCAAGGAAAGGGGGATTTAACCGTTCCTTTTCTTCATCCATATGTGAAGGAAGTAGCAGGTTACATGAGGAATGGAGTGTTTAATGAGTAAGAGCTTAGGGGTGGGACAGGTGGTGGGCCTGGTGTAGGTCAGTGAGTGATAGAAGATGAGGTGATAATGCTCATCTTCAAGCTGCTCTGTCATGTGTCACGGCCAAGCTTAGATTGGTCAGCATATAAGCTTATTCCTTAAGATGAATGTACAGTGACGTTAAGATACCTTAAAAATTGCTCTGCCTGTTTGGAAAGGAATCTCTTTTTCAATTTCTTTAGTTTATAGCATTAATCATGAAAAGGTTACTGCATCAAAATGTATTTTACTTTAAGATGCTTTGTATAATTAAGAATGATTTGATCTATGACTGATTAGGATTGCTTTGTTTAGAGAAACAGTTTACAGATATACAAAATCAACAGTAAAAATGACCATACTAATAGTCAGGGGTTACTCTTCTAGTAGAATATGTTTAATAATGTGAAGTGCTCCTGACCAATACATGGACAACTAATTCTCTATATATGAGGGGATCGACATAGCATTAAACAGATACAAAGAAGATATAATGAAAAGAGTAGAAGAGAGGATATTGTCCTTACCATGTCTGTCACTTCTAAGACCTTATTACTGATCTCAGTCACCTTGCCTCCTATCAGATGAATGTATCCCAATGACTTCTTGGCCTTGTGATCCTGAAACACAAAAATCGTAAAATGAAGACGAAGAAAAATGTTAATCATACAATCTACAACATTTTTCCAAATACTTTACGCAAACAGATAGATTGTAACGCAAATACTTTCACAATGTGTGACTGGTTTGGACTTACAAAAACTGTTAAATATGATTCTCAAAAAAAAATGGCTGTCTTTAAGACATGTGAAAGTTTTGGGGTTGATTGTAAAGCCACAATCTCAATGAAATTGATAATATTTTCGACTTGAATATTCAATTTAGTAACAACAATATCGCTTAAAAATACCAATATTAGAAATTTCACTGCACACTAAGATGTATCAATAGCATATATAGCACATTAGAGAAAATAAAACACAAATAGCTTTGTAGAAAAAGATAAGTCTTCAGATTTCTTTTAAATGTATGTGGATAGATTTTTCTACAGTTCAAAGTAAGCAACATGTTTCAAAATTCTAGAAGCAGTAAAAAAAAAAATACACAAAAAAACTAAAGGAAAAACAAACAGGAGTAGAAAGATTTGATCAAGCCCTATTTTTCTCACCTCATAATAGAAGAGATTTCCATTCTTGGCCCTGAAGTATCTCTTCTTCCACTTCTTGATAAGAGACGCTCTCCTTCTACCCATGGGGAGTTTCTCCATGTACCCCTCCATGCTAATCTCCCCCGCCCTGTTTGACCTGGGGCTGGAGTCATTCCTGGAGTAGCGCTGACCAGTGGTCTGGTCCTTGTGTCGCTGGACGTTAGAGTACAGCTCTCGCAGTAGTGGTACCTGGAGTGGGAGACAGAGATGGTAAAAGAAATTTAAAATAATGCATAGAAATACAAATTCTAAGTCAATGAATGAGCTCATAAGCTTGTAAATTTTCAATTTTTTTTTGTAAGGCTTAGTTGAAGAACAGTGGCCTTGTAACCAGAAGATGCCTGGTCAAGTAACAAAGCAAGTTAATGCACTAATATTATTCTTTAGTAAGGCATTAATACCAAATCATTATCTAAAATCATATGAATAAGCAATCATAACTCAACTAAATGTTATTGACCTTAATGACCTACATGTATGCATAATTTTCTCACACAAGACAATGCATTTCTAAAATCTGAGACTGAATAAAGCATACTAAATCATTTAGTTTGGCTACATGATATCTTCCATTATCCTGTTTGATTTTTAAAACTTAAATTAAATTCAAAATTTCAAACATAAAGGACAGCTAAATAACAAGCAGACAAGTCCATAGTCTCAAGAAAAAAGTAAATCAGGGAAGCATAAAGAGGAAACCATCTCAAAGCAGCCCCTATATAAGCACTAAAATTATCTCAGTGAAAATAGAGTGAAGGCAAACACGGGACGGGGATTTCTATTTGTGGTACTTCAAGCCCTGTTCATTAACCTAGATGCGATAGGAAATTGGTGTCATTGGAAATGGTTGAGCTCTCTATCCTACACAATGTCATTACTGATGACTTGGACTAACTATTGAGCTCACAGAACAGGTTCTGTGACTTACTTCATGAAGCCAACATTGGTATGAATATTGACGAAGAGTTTAGACAGACCCTTGATAAGGGCCTCGCTGCCCATTTCCCTATAACAAGGTTGACTATTAGACATACTAATTTCTGAGAAATATTGAAGTAAGATGCACCAACCAGTATTGGTTTTTAACTCATGGTCTTGATGAACCCAATATTTATTTGGTTTAAAAATAATTGATATAACTTCAAAGTAAGTTGAAATAATTTCAAAGAACTATTTCATATATGCCATCTTAACATGTCTCAGCTAGTGTCATATTCCATACAGTATGCATTTCAGAGGGAGATGGTCAATTGAATTCCTGGTACCAGCCTAGTAACAATTCTTATACATGATGTTTAAAAAAAATGTATGATGACATACATGACAGCTAGATTCTTCCCATTACTCCAAAAGGGGAAATGAAAGGCAAAATGTGAATGAGATTGAAGAAAAGGAGCTGAGAAATACAAAGGAAAATTCTATAAAAAGATTAAGAGAAAGCTAGGAAAATGGAAGAGACAGAAGTAAGGGAACAGAGGAATAAAAAATACTTCTCTACTTTATGTTTCCCCTAGATTTTCAGAGTTCACTTTTGAGCTAAAACTCAGCACTCGTCAAATAATTCTAGAAAATCATGCCTGTTTTTCTCTAAAAGCCTGAAATATTTTGCTTTGGTCTAATTACATATTCCTTCCTCTTTTTATTTCACTCTGTCTGACTCACTTTAGGAACCCAAGGAATAAGTGCCGATAAAGTTGGGGAGAAATCTATTTTCATCTCCAGCCCAAATTGAGCAAATCATGATCGCTTCCTGAAAATAGACAAGAACTCGGCAGATGAAATGTGAAAGACAAAGCATTCATGGGGAGAAGATAAGAATAGACCTTTTTTCTTTCTATTTCTGGTGGGTTTAGAGTGACAATGAAGCATTCATGACCACTTAATCCCTATGGCTCACATCTATGTACCAAGGGTAACATGTTTAGGACGATGTCAATCTAGGTTGAGATACGTTTAAAACCGCTAGCTTTCCACAAAAACAAAAAAAGAGAGATTTTCATAGTACTAGAGCATCTGAAAAGCATACGTTATATAGAAGAGAAAAAGAAGATTGCGGTATTTACGAGCATGACTGAAAACAATTCTTATGGTCTTTGCATTTTAAAACTTCACATGATGATAAAAGCCTTGTAATAACAATATAATTAAGTGATCATGAAGCTTTGGTGAATATTTATATTTCTTTTAATTTACAATTAAAAAATAAACATGTGGCTGACATGGAGTAATTACTCCGAATGAATGTGTGCTATAATAACCCAAATTCAATAAGATTCTAAGAAAAACTATCATAATAAGAGCTCTATCTATAAATCTTTAGAAAGGTCAATAACTTTTCCCCTACCTTATTACCGATGTTAATATTGCATGGATATAAATTACAGGATTTTGTGACAGACAAGGGGAACTATGAACTCTCCCTCTATATACAATATTTACCAAATATTAATTAATCAACACCAGTGGCTATCACTTGTACATATAAACCATCAGGCCAATCAGGTTGGAATACCATAAGTGACCTATTAAGCTAGATTAGATTTGTTTTCCCTGTGTCATTTACTATGATGATAACAAATTCCATGCATTCTAAAGTAAGCATGGACAACTTTCACCCAATCTCTGCACCTCTATATACAGCTGGTTTTCATCAACAGTTCATCTGCTTTTGATAAATGCTGGTAAATATATATCTTGTTCAGATTAATATAATCCTATTCACATTAGAAACACAACTCACTTTCAAAGGCATTACAAAATATCAGAACTATTAAAAGAAACAAATCATCATTATTATCGTAATTGGCTTTGTTAGTTTTTATGAAATGGGGCCAGTCCTATATATCACCAATAACAACGGTAACAATAAACAGAAATTCGGTCTCCTTGCAGAAAATCCAGGCATTATATATTGTTTTGCTCATTAATTTATGCTAATTAGCCTTCAGTACCAATTTTCTGATACATTTTCTATATGTAATACAAGAATATTTCAGCGTACTGATAGTATTACTTTTGTAGGACAGCCCCTTAGTACTCCATAACCTTCATTATTTGCAGAGAATCCTTTATACTAATAGACTACAATTTTCTAGATTCTCTTTTTCAGGAAGGAATCATGAGAAATTATCAAGATTCTGCTAAATCATCCCTGAGCTCACAAAACAAGCTTGAAATCATTCCGATTACCCAGGCCAGAATTAACAAGAGTCAATTGATAGCGACAAATTAAGAATTAAGATGGGTGACAGTGACTCATATATCAATATCCTTTCTCTACAATAGAGTCTCTTCTCATAATAGCTGTTGAAATACAGAAACAAGAAGGGACTGGAATTACATGGTGTTTTTTTTTTATAGAGTTGATGACAAGGATCTTTCATTGAAGAAACTTGCTACAAAGTATTAATTCTAGAGGGCATTGTATTCTAAAGTCTGTTCTTTTAATAGGTGTTGAAATAAATGTATTTAATTGAGGGGCTTGGAATAGGAGGGTGAATTTCAGAGCTGGTGACAAGGGGCTCTCCTTGAAGGAAAATGCTACAAATCAAAGGTTATGAACATGCAAGGGCAGAATCAGGATTTTTCAGTAGGGCAGGAAATGGTCAAAAAAATCTCTGACAAGCAAAAATAGGAATTTCTCCAATTTTCAGTTATCATTTTTTAGAAAAGAAAAGAACTTTGAAATACCCTACTCCATTAAAAAAAAAACATGTTTCAGTGCTTTTCTGGCCTAAAGGGGAAGGGGTGTCCCTCATACATCTGCATCTGGGTACACGTAGTGCCTGTTTCTTACACTACACCTGTGTTCTACTCTTTGTGTGATATATTGATTCCTTGGCAAGGGCAAACATGATCTCTAACCATGCGTCTGCAAAACATATGAGTCATATGACACAAAGAAGTCAAACTTGTAGGTTTGCACGTTTCCATTCTTTGGTAATGATTGATCAACAGTCAATTTTTAACAACATTACCATTCCTAATCCACACCAGGACCAAAAACTATACCTATACCCTATCCTAAACCTAACTAAGGCTCAATTCGCTCTAACCCTATCTTTGATGAAACCCAATGCAACTTTAACAACTCATATTCTGATGGTCTGCCAAACCAATTTTGCCTTTGAAATGTTTTAAAGTGATATGGAAGGGACATTTTACAAATCACCCGGACGAAAGTTAATATCTCATCTTGAGGGACAGCAAAGGGTGTCACGTGACTAATGAATTTCACTGGAATTGTGTTTTCCTAGATACCCATCAACAATGAATCATGTTCATTTCTTCCTAGGGGTTTTCTGATGGTCACTTTGTGGCTTTATGGCTGGAAAATCATTGCATAAACTCTAGACTTGTACGTACAACTTAATTGCTAACTTCCTTGACTGGACTGAGGCATCACTTCCTGCTCCTACCTGTGACGTCACACCTACATATCACTCTATGGAAAAATAGAGGTTCAACGTCATCTTAAAACGCTCTAATGTTTTAGTGTGATTGCGTAATATCTCTTTCAGTAGACAGCGAGTTTAGAAGGATTACACTTGAGGGTATCATTCGTGTAAGTGCAAAATATGAGTTACACCTGTATTATTTTATAAACCACAGTTTCCAGTTCTTGTACTATTTTGCAAGAATTACTTACAGAAATATCTTTCTGTCTTGGAGTTGGTTTTGGAGTTGATTGCTATGTATTCAGAGGAGAAGATGCAAAGGATTTAACAGAAGAATAATTATCATCATAAGATATGAAACCATTGATTCTCCAAAGAACCAAAATATGGTCTATGTTGCAAAGCTATTTATTTATTTTTATCTATTTATTTATTTATTTATTTATTTATTTATTTTGATTTAAAAAGACATATAAAAATGTACATGATTCAAAGGTCCAAGGACCAAAACTAATCAACAAAATACAGAGGCTTGGCATAACATTTTCAAATGTTTTGTAAAGCAATCTTAGATTGGTTTACACCCACGCTCAACACTTCACACCTACACAAAGAAGAAACACACAATTTGTTAAATTTATGTAATCACCTCATTCATCAGTTCACTACACTAATCCTAAAACATTCACCAACATTACACTCTTATCTCCTAAAATTTAAAGGACTCCTTAGACTCTTTATTAACACAAGTACCTAAACAAATACAGAACACACTAATTAACTTATAGTTTG